AACCATATACAAGACCAGCTTTAGATATCGCAAGAGTTTAACTGCTTGTGAATTTTATATGCCTGCAGAGAGTTAAACAAAAGGGGAAAGTGCCTTAACAAAGAGGCAGCTCTATGACAGTGTCCCCCAGAACCGCCATGGCCATGGGCCCTTTGACTCTCGATAATCAAGCTAGAAAGAGAGGAGGTGACGTCCTCAGTATCTTTTCTGAAGTCTGACAGAAATGTTCATTCTAGAAGGTGGCTGAACATGAAGGTTCGTTTCAGCCGTCCTGGAGTCAGCATTTTTAACAAGCTATCACTTAGTTCTGAGTAAAAAATGCTGCTGAGGACTTGGTTAATGAATGCTGGTGCCCAGGTTGAACTTCCTGAATTTGAAAACCTCTCTGTATGGGATCCCAATTACTGTCACTTTCAGTGCTGATACACACTGGACAATCCAGGACGGCTCCTGCAGGACTTAATCAGCACGATTAATCATTCTTCTTTTAGAAGTTCTCCAGTCATTTGCTTTTCTAACACACGTGCGGCAGTGGTGCTGCATCTTGGCGCGTGACTGCCATCTGGTGGTAAGAGACGAAGATATTGGGAAATTAAAAGTGATCCCTGCTTTTTCTTTTTCTCTTGGGTAAAGATGAAAGTTTGAGTGTGCGAGTAGTAAAAATTAAGAAATGTACATTTTTAAGGCAATGTACAAAGATTTGAAGTCCAGGAGGGAATTCCTTCAGGAGGCAGTGCCTTGGAGCCTTACCTGGCAATGAGAATTTGCATCTTTTCCTGGAAGACTTAGATGCAATGTGGATATGCAGAATGAGGGAGGTTGAATTTTTCTTTCAAGTAGATTTCATCTCTGTTCACCTCTAGCCAGGCTCCTTAGTGAACTCTAGAGGAGGAGATATCTAATTATCAAGTAATAATAAAAGAAAGCTGGTTAAATTAAACTGCATGCTCTGCTACACTGCGATAGACAACAGAAATTCTGCCAACATCATTTACTAAGAAAAAAGTAATTAACCCACAGTCATTCTTAACGGTGGGGTCTAGCATTTGCTTTCCACTTTGCAAAGATTCTATCTAACCAGAATAGGCACAAGTTGTTGGAATCAGGGTATACTGTAGTTCCCAGCATGGCTGTGTTCCTGCTTACTTAACTCATATGTAACTTCTCTACTAATCCCTGCCGATCAGGAACTGAAGGACCATAAGGAAATTGTAGATGAGTGACTATGGGGATGAGAGGACATAAAGATCTCCTTTGTCGCCAGCAGCTGAAGTTCATGAAGTTCTCATTACATCGACACTTAGATCAGATCACTCGGAACAGCTGAAAGGGTCAAGTGTCTCCAGTTTGCATTCTGGCTAGGTGTTTACCAGTTCCAAAATTTAACATCTTTCCTTGAAATTATGCTCTGTATGTATCTCAAAGCAGTACAACTCAAAAGAAATGAGGTTGTGGTGTGGAGTCGGGGTGGGGGGGCGTGTCGGTGCTTTTGAAATAACAAAATGCAGAAGATAGTAGTGCCGCCGTTGCAACATTTATTAGCTGCAGCAAACTTTACATCAAGGTGGGGGATGCAGAGGCTCAGATGAGTGGACATCGGGTGTGGTGCTGTGTGACACCGGAAGTCTAAGGTGAAAGTTGTCTGGGAATGTCAGAGAAAGAGTTATCCATGCAATTTGTTTCAAAGTAGAAAAATGTCAAGGCTGAGGAAATGGCTCAATGACAAACATGAGAGAACCGAGTTTGAAAAACCAGGCTTGGCTGTGTATGCTAACAAATCCAGCATTGAGGAACCTTTGGCAGCAGAAGACAGGCCAGTCATGGGAGCTCCCTAGATAGCTTCATATTCAATGAATTGTGTAAGGGGACACTCAACATCCTATAGTAGGGGCCAAGGGCAGGTTATCCCCCAAAAACAATTGGGAGTATAGGCCCGATGCCTCATGAATAGTGCCCCCTGCTGGAGGCATGCTTAGCGCATGATTCTTAGGAGGAAATATTTTACATTCAAATATTCAAAAATATTCAAATCTTTGCTTCAAAGTGCACTTTTATCTTCCTCTCTTTAAAATTATACTTTCATTTTATTTCGAATATCAGTCTTCTTTTCTTTCCTTTTCTTTTCTTTTCTTTTCTTTCTTTACTTTTCTTTTCTTTTCTTTCTTTTCTTTCAATTCTGGGATCCAACCCAGAAGCTAATGCATGCTAGGAAAAGCATCATTACTGGGTTTAGCTTCTGTATATGAATATATTCATTTTATCAGCACAAACATGTAATTCTCTACACATCCCTACATGTCTCCAGGCTCTGCATCATGTCAGTAAGTTAAAAGTAGGGGAAGGGGGACCAGGTGTGTGGCCCACAGCTTTAATTCCAGCACCCAAGAGGCAGAGGGAGAGACAGAGGCAGGCTGATCTCTGTGAGTTCAAGGTCAATCTGGTCTACATAGCAAGTTCCAGGACAGCCAGGATTATCATCCCACCCCCTGCATACCAAAAAAATGAAGGGGAAACTCAAGCATGTAGGAGATGGTATATATATTTTGGCTAGGAGGTAAGGGCAGAGTAAGATGTGGCGGCAGTATAAGGCTGAGCACCTAACGCACACGAAGCCTCACACACTCTGGAGAGGAGAAGCCGTATTTCCACCCTGACTTTTTCCAGTCATTTGCACAGAGGGAAATTTGATCAGGCACATGAGTCACCATGTCCATAAAATGAGTGAAGAGCTGCCACTCTGGCGGAAACTGCCTCAGTCTCTGAAGTTCTTTCCTCTTGCTTAACATTCTCACCAGAAGTCCAGCCAGAGTCTGAACTAAGTGACTGTTTGGAAGGAAACAAGAACCTTGTCTTAAAAAAAAAAAGTGGATGTGGACGTAAGAATTTAGAGAGGCTGAGATTCAATGGCCCTGTATAGTTACAGTTTGAAAAAAAAATATTTTTTATTGGATATTTTATTTACATTTCAGATGTTATCCCCTTACCCCATTTCTCTCCGCTCAGGAACCCCCTCCTCCTGCTTCTATGAGGATGTGCCCCCCACTCCCACCTCCACACCCTCAAATTCCCCCCCACACAGCGTCCAACCTTCATGGTACCAAGGATCTCCTCTCCCACTTATGCTCGACAAAGCCATCCTCCCCTGTATATACAGCTGGAGCCATGGATTCCTCCCTATTGCTCCCAGGCTGGTGGTTTAGACCCTGGGAGCTCTGGTTGGTTGGTATTGTTGCTCTCCTCCTCATGGGGCTGCAAACCCTTTCAGCTTCTTCAGTTCCTTCTCTCTAACTCCTCCTTTGGGAACAACCTTGATCAGTTCAATGGTTAGCTGTGAGCATTTGCCTCTGAATATGTCAGACTCTGGCAGACCTCTAGGGAGACAACTATATCAGACTCCTGTCAGCATGTACTTCCTGACATCCACATCAGCGTCTACCTTTGGTGACTGCACATGGGATGAATACCCAGGTGGAATGGTCTCCAGAGGGCCCCTCCTTCAGTTTCTGTCCCACACTTTGTCTCCATATTTGCTCCCATGAGTATTTTGTTACTCCTTCTAAGAAGGACCGAAGCACCCACACTTTGGTCTTCCTTCTTCATGAGCTTCATATGGTCTGTGAGTTGAATCTTGGGTATTGCAAGCTTCTAGGCTAATATCCAATTATCAGTGAGTGAAAGCCATGTGTGTTCTTTTGTGATTGGGTTACCTCAATCAGGATGATATTTTCTAGTTCCATCCATTTACCTAAGAAGTTCTTGAATTCATTATTTTTAATAGCTGAGTAATACTCCATTGGGTAAATGTACCACATTTTTTTGTATTCATTCCTCTATTGAAGGACATCTGGGTTCGTTCCAGCTCCTGGCTATTATAAATAAGGCTGCTTTGAACATAGTTGAGCATATGTCCTTGTTACATGTTGAAGCATCTTCTGAGTATATGCCCAGGAGTGATATAGCTGGGTCCTCAGGTAATGCTATGTCCAATTTTCTGAGGAACTGCCAGACTGATTTCCAAAGTGGTTCACCATCTTGCAATCCCACCAACAATGGAGGAGTGTTCCTCTTTCTCCACATCCTCGCCAGCATCTACTATCACCTGAGTTTTTAATCTTAACCATTCTGACTTGTGTGAGGTGAAATCTCAGGGTTGTTTTGATTTGCATTTCCCTAATGACTAAGGATGCTGAACATTTCTTTAGGTGCTTCTCAGCCATTCGAGTTTCCTCAGTTCAGAATTCTTTGTTTATCTCTGTATCCCATTTTTAATAGGGTTATTTGTTTGTCTGGAGTCTAATTTCTTGAGTTCTTTGTACATATTGGATATTAGCCCTCTATTGGATGTGGGATTGGTAAAGATCTTTTCCCAATCTGTCGGTTGCTGTCTTGTCCTAGTGACAGTGTCCTTTGCCTTACAGAAACTTTGCAGTTTTATGAGGTCCCATTTGTCAATTCTTGATCTTAGAGCATAAGCCATTGGTGTTCTGTTCAGGAACTTTTCTTCTGTGCCCAAGTATTCAAGGCTCCTCCTCATCTTCTCTTCTATTAGTTTCAGTGTATCTGGTTTTATGTGGAGGTCCTTTATCCACTTGGACTTGTACTTTGTACAATGAGATAAGAATGGATCGATTTGCATTCTTCTACATGTTGTCCTCCAGTTGAACCAGCACCAAGAAAGTAATGTTTCAACAAACCCAAAAGAAGATAGTGGAAAAAATCTTATATATGATAAAATTACATTTATTCAGTAATATGAGGGGAAATTTGAAAACTGGTACTAAAGTATTATTTCAGGAAGAAAGGGAACGGCAGAAGCTGTATTTGGAAAGAAGCAATGGCTCAGCAAGTGTGTTAGCTGTGAAGAAATCAGCAGCAGAGTACAAACTCCATGAAGCCACATCCAAAGCTGAGAACTGCCACCTACCCTGCCTGCAAACCCAGTGCTGTGGAGGCTGGAGACAGACAGATAACTGGAATGTGCTCGCTGCTGTCAGGTCCAGTTCAGTGAAAGCTTCTAGCTTGAGGGAAGAGAGTAGAGTGTGGGAGCAGGGTGCTGGAAATACTGCTGTGGACTCTGCATGCATACTTGGGTATGTGCACACCCGTGAGCACATATTGTCTAAATTAATTAACTGCTTGATTGATTGATGATTGATTTAAAAATGTAAAGACTACCTGTACTGGATGGTTTTGTGTGTCAACTTGACCCAAGCTGGAGTTATCACAGAGAAAGGAGCCTCCCTTGAGAAAATGCCTTCATGAGATCCAGCTGTAAGGTAATTTCTTAATTCGTGATTGACGGTGAAAGGGTCCATTGTGGGTGGTGCCATCCCTGGGCTAGTAGTCTTGGGTTATATAAGAAAGCAAGCTAAGCAAGGCAGGGGAAGCAAGCCAGTAAGTAACATTCTTCCATGGCCTCTGCATCAGGTCCTGCTTCCTGACCTGCTTGAATTCTAGTCCTGACTTCCTTTGGTGATGAACAGCAATGTGAAATTGTAAGCTGAATAAACCCTTACCTCCACAACTTGCTTCTTGGTCATGAAATTTGTGCAGGAATAAAACCCTAATTAAGACACTCCCTAATTCAGACAGTTACCAGTATACAAACAGAAGACCATAGAAAGTCCAAGACAAAGCAACAAAGGTTTAACCCATTTGAAGAAATGAGGAATTAGTCACCTCTAAAGCAGTGGTTTTCACAGGGGTTGTCTAAGAACACTGGAAAACACAAATATTTACATTATGAATCATATCAGAAGCAAAATTATAGCTATGAAGTAGCAATGAAAATAACTTTATGGTTGGTGTCACCACAGCATGAGGATCTGTATTAAAGGATCACAGCATCAGGAAGGAACCACTGCACTAAAGAGATTTCTAGTGTTCGTAGAGGACGTGCAGGGGAATATAGCATTTATTCCGAGGTTCTAGCTCTGTGTTTGTCAACCTGACTCACTTCCGGTCACATGTCCTTTCTAGCAAGATAAGATAGTGTCAAAATCAGCCTTACAAAGGACATACAAGAGGTCTCAGCTCCTTACCTAACTGCACAGTGCCCATTTGTTCCCTTGTGTTCCTGTGTAATTTCTTCATGGTGTAAGTCCAGGCAAAATAAATGTGTCCTCCAGGTGGCAGGAGCTCACTCTAGTTTGTGGAGGGGCTTCGAGACCTTACATCCCCATAGGCCACTCATCAAATAATCCACTAGGTGGCAGCAACCGGAATACAATTGGGGAAAAAAATCGTTAATAGGTGAAAAGACAACATAGATCTTTCTGTTTACCTCAGAGCAGCAGTTTGAGCAAGTGAGTAAACATTATATTTTTTTCCTGGAAATTGTGACATCATTAACTTATAAGATTGCAGCACACTAACTTAATACACAAAAATAAAACACACATAAAAACAAGAAAGCAAACTTTTGCAGAGGAGCCTTCTAAATAATAAAGGGAATTAAAAAAAATGGTATTATTAAGAATTTAGGTGTACAGATTTTCTTAACCCAATTTAGGGGTTAATAAAAGAGACTAAAATAGTGTTGCTGACAATGGGACTTATTATTTATTGACTACTGCTATGTGCCAAAGCGGTATTTAAAAGCTTAAAACGAGAAAGAGAGAGGGAGAAGAAAAGAGTGGACCTGGATCAGAAACTCTCAAGCAAGCCCAGATTTGAGCATAAACCTGGACAGAGCCATTGGCGCTGTCCTCCCCATGACCCTACACTTTTTTTCTGCTGGAGCTGTTTTTCACAAGGGGAATTAGAAGTACATGCAAGTTATAAATTTGCATGCAAACAAGGACACATTGCTATTATGACTTTCCCTTATGTGCAGGACACATACCATTAATTCAGTGAGGAACAATATTGTATTTTGAGTCCGGTTACACTGAAAGCTAGCAATGGATATTGGTTTAAAAGCAGAGTAATAAATTCAGTCATGCAGAAGAAATAAGTGTCCAAAGGTATCATAAATAAAAGGGGAGGAAGGCTAGAGAGCGGAGGAATCGTAGGTGCTTGACTGGGAAGGAGAAAGGGAAGCTGGGGTGGGGGCTGGGCAGGCTAGGCACTCACATAGCTGCCTTCACATTTCTGTGGTTATCAGTCCCAATGTATTTAGAAAGCTTCATCAGGCCTTGCCTTAGACAGACACAAATAACACAGTTCAGTACAGAGGAGTGTCTTATGTGGAGACCCCTGAGCATGACTTGAATCCTCAGAGGCCAACCCCAGGCAGGGGCAGTCAAGCTTTGAACACAACCTGACAGCAGGCAGTGTCTAAGGGCATCTCCAGTGGGAGTGAGCCTGGCATCAGAGTGGCCCCTCATCCCCCACTTCCCTGCCATTCTTTCTACATTGGACTGGACTCCAGGGCAAAACGAGGGAAAACAAGCCAGACAGCACAAAGATCAGTAAGACACATTTTGCTTTGTACACAATGATTTATTGTCCAGTAAACTCTCATTTTTATATACTTTACTTCAAGTATCTTTATGAGCAATACAGCGAGATAATAAGGCGTTATCACAGGGTATGAGAGGAGGGCACTCTTTGGGAAGAAGAAAAGACTATTTTCACACACTAAATAGCATTAGGGGTGGCACTAAGAGCCTTAGGCAAGAATGTCCTGGGGAGAGAAGGCAGACACTTTGGTTCTTTGTAGCCTGGGGTTTGTTCCCAGGTATCTGCACCCAGCAGAAGGTTGTCAATACACAAAGAAAATGACATTGCCATTGAGGGAAAAGCCACTGTTAGGAGCCAACTGCTCTCTTCCCATCCATGTCTTAAGGAGTCCATAAGCCAGCTCCCTTCTCTGACAATCTTTTGTTCAGGCCTGTCATTCAGTTGAATGCTCAGGGGTGGCAGCATTCCTGGACTCTTTCCAGTGCCCTACCCCCTATTTTTGGAGAACATGTACCCGCTGCCACTGGAGGTCACACTTGTCAGTTTCTATCAATCCACAAGCACGATTAGATACAATGTAATTGATTATGCCGCTGTGACTGACCAAGTTTGTTTCTGACAAAACAACAACATAAATTTAGGTCACCAGATAGGATAACTGAGGAAATTCGAATAGGTTTGAACAATGTCTTCCCCTCACTTTATCCTCCTTTAACTTAAGCGAGGATGAAAGAAGATAAAACAAATCTAAACTGAGGGATAGCTCAGCAGAAGCCTTACTGTCACCATATCGGTTGGGCAGATGGGCTGCAGCTTCTCCAGTGCCAGGAGGAGGAAGAGGAGGAGGAGGAGGAGGAAGGAGAAAGGAGGAAGGAGGAAGGAGGAAGGAGGAAGGATGATGTGAAAACCAGGTAAGCACAGAGACAAGCAGCTGCCAGCACTTGACACAGTCTGCTCTCTATCTAAGGCTTGATTGTAACTGTATGGAGTGACTTTTGCTATTGTGAGCCTCTGAAATACCTGCTTCACAAAGGACTAACCCAGACTGGAATGACACACAGGTTTCACGGACCAAAGCAGAGAGGCCAACATAACATAAGCGAAGCTCACGTTCTAAAGGGCAATGCTGTTGGGTCACACAGTTAGCAACGCAGCAGACATTCACAACGCACAGACAGATTTTCCTGCAAATACTTAGAAGGCGTTTTAGAGCTTTAAAGATGGGTTTGCAACTTCCTTAAGAGAATATAGTGCTGAGAGTCACTATGGTAACCAGGATGCAGGACACAACGAGCAAAATCAGACCCATGTGACACAATTTTGATCGCTTGTTGCGTTTCTTCTTCTTTTTCAGCAAAGTGTCGAAGCCAGGAGTGTACATGTCCCCCAACCAAAAGCGCAGGTCATTGGGGTTTTCCTTAAAGAAAAATAACACAGGAAACATCACTAATCAGCGACCAGTCAGCATTAGAGATGGAAACTTGGGAACAAGATGACTTCAGAGGCCCTGAGGCTTTTGTATTAACACTGTTTGGGGTAGGGCTTATCTTTCAAAGCTTAAACAGTAGGCTTATCATCTCTAAATGTCCCAGATATACTGCCATAGCCTAGCTGACCAACAACATATAGCTGCAACAAATATGTCTATCTGTATTGGAATTTGTTGGGTGGCCTGCACAATCTCAGTATTAAATTGTTTGCACTTTCAAGTCAGATATATTGGAGTCTTATATCTCATGTGCTCATAGCATCTTATAAACAATGCCTACAAACCAAGTAAGTTGAAATACAATTACAATTCCTAGTTTTTGATGGACCTTGAAGACTTTCTCTTATCTTTGTAGCAGGGAAAATAATTTGGTTAAGTATCAAGAGATCCCCAACTGACTTTCATGCAAGAAGGATAATGCTAGGTGTTCAGGGTTCCTTCCACAGCTGAACTACAGTATATCTTCCACATAGAAGCTCTGGGACATGATGCATCTTTCCTCCTGTTAGCTCCTACAGGATGTCTCTGTATCACTGGCTCCATCTTCTGTTGAGTGGCAGAGAATTCTTTTTAAGTCAGCCTGTTCTCAAGTATTTCATATACTATTTTGTTTTTAAATTCCCTCTCATCTCTAACTACTTTAGTGCAGAGTCTCTGTGTCTTGGCAGGGAATGCAGTCTCATATATTAAGTTTACAAAATGTGACTGGTTTCACTTATCAACTGTAGGCCTTGCTTTTTCTTGCCTAGATGTTTTGAAGGATTTGAAATAGGCCGTCACCTTCAACACGTTCAGTGGACTTATGTCAGCTAATGGAGTCACAAAACCAGTCTCCTGTATCTGGAAGCCCCTAGGGTCTCTGAAGTAGCTTCAGAGTTAGGCTTGTAGTGTCAGGAGAGGCATGTACACCCCTGTAAGGAGCTGAGATGTATTTGGCAATGGTGATTCTCCAATAGGAAGGTATAAGTGGCTTTAATCCACCTACTTAGACGTGCTTAAGAATTACAATTGTGTTTGAAAAACCTCAGCAGAAGAATATCAACTTTCAAACCTTTGCCTGCATCCCACTTGTTTTTCATCTTGTTTGTGTCCTAATCAGACTCCTGCATTTTGACACTTTAGCGCTTTAATTTCTCTTTACCAATGGCTTCCCTAATAGAGACAATGCCCTCTTAAAGCCTCACTTTGGCTTGCATTGCTAACTAAGTATAACATTTCTTTTACTTTTTGTGACCTGAAGTTCCTAACTATTTTGAAAAGCAGTAATACACGAAGACACTTGGAGGAGTTATAGTCCATAGCTGGGATCAAGATTATAAAATTATGGGAGTGGAGTGACGAGTCACCAGCTAAAAGCAGTGGCTGCTCTTCCAGAGGACATGGATTCAATTTCCAACACCCACATTTTACATTTATGGCCATGTGTGACTACAGTTTCAAGAGAACCTGACATCCTCTTTTGTCTTCCGAGGACACTGCATGCATGTGGTGCACGAACACACGTTCAAGCAAAACACCCAGACAGGTAAAAATAAAATAAAACATTAAATAAAAGGTTATGGATTTAAATGAGGATCCCTCTCTGCTATTTATGAGATAAGGGCAGAAATACTGACAGAAGAAGTTGACATAAAGAAGTCCTGACAAGGGTGGGATGTATGTCTTTTCAGCTTCGTGAGGAACTGTCAGTTTCAGGAACACAACATATCCATTAGATTTATGTGTGACCTTACAAATTTAACTTAAAAGGAACATTTTCTCATTGCCAATGATCTTGAATTGTCTAAGTCTGAGATCCAAACTTAAAGAAGCAAACTTTTGAGAAAAAATTTGATTTTTTTTTAAAATTGGCACATGAAAATGAGAGTCTTTGAATCAGGTAAGCTATTTCTATTTACTCGGTTAGATGGATTTGAATGCAGACAAGGATGCGGCATTTGTCTCCACAGACCCCCTTGTCATCATGCACACAGCAAGGGCAGGAGAACAGGCCTTAGCTTGTGCTCAGTACTAAGTGACTGTGTGTGAAATAAATCAATGCATTTTTACCCAATAATAGGCTTAATGGTTTGAAGTCTTTGGTAAGAAACATGAGATAAAACCAAAACAAAGAAGTCAGAAAGAAAGGCATTGTTATCTTTTGACAGCTTCTCAGAAAGGAATTAAGGAAGGGATACCTCCAAGCTGGGGGATTAAGAGCTATCAGGGATTCTAGACCATGATGTATTTCAAGAAACAGACACTCAAGGTTTTAAAACTTGTATGCAGAATATGAAAGTCTATGGTACTGTCCCCATCAAAAAAAAAAAAGTGATTCACTTCAGGTGGTTAAGGTATGAACCTGGCCCAGACACATACTTTTAAATGAGGGGTAATTGGGATAACATTTCAACATTTCTGCCCTTTCTGGCCTAAGGCAGGTGGAGAGAAGTCAAGGCTGTTCAGGAATTTAGTGCTTACAGACAAGAAAAGATCCATTCTGGTTTTCAAGTATTTGAGTCTTCTGTGTAGGTGACATCAGAGGGAGAAAAGAAAGAGTAGGAGGAGAAAATACATAAGCTGGGTGAGTTCATTGCATACTTTTCCTCGTTGAAGTGTTTTATTTTGTTTGGAGACACAAGAAAAATGACCGAGATGTAAACCTGCTATCTTAAATCATTTGATGGACTCAGATGCTAATAAAACAATGATTAAGAGATTCCTTGTACAGTGCCCAAGTTCTGATCACTTCATGAGTGGTTTTTAGAAAAATGTACAGTAAGAAACTTATTCCTAAGTGATAATGAGTATAAACACTCACAAAATTACAAACTAGGGAGAAACATATGTGACCATACAAATTAATTTTAAAAATCTATCTTTTATCTTCCCAGGTCATTGCTACTTCCTCTACTCTACATTACACAGATGCCGTTGGCTTGTGCAAAACAAATAAGTAACTCCTCATAATGGCTGGGAAAGAAATAATTTCAGTGATGAAAAGGATCTGTGGTCTGGAGATTGTGTGTTGGGTGAGGGACTCCTGCCACCCCACCACAGCTTCCTAAGTTTGGGATAGATGATCTACCTCATCAGTTGGAGACCATGCTTAGTACACACACCTTCAGATGTCCAGAGAGATTTGTATGCACAGAATGCTTGTCATACTCCTCAATGGTCCACGAAGGATTCTTTTTCCTTTCTTCCATAGCTTCTTCCAAACTTACGTCACCATACAATGGGTTATTCTTCATAACTGAAGACATGGATGCTGGAGGACTCTCAGGAAGAACAGGGTTCTCCCCACCAAACCCCTTGATTCGTTGAGTAGCGATGTTCTTTTCTCTCTGTTGGGAGATTAGAAAATGAGGCTTCTGTTGTAAGATGGGCTTCTTGGTGGCAGTGTAGCCAAAATGACAGAAGTCTGCATCTGAAAACCTTTTGATTCTGTCTCAAACCCAACAGATGAAGCAATGAATTAGAAAACAACTCCTGGATCTACCTCAATCTAGAATCCCTCCATTTCAGACTTCTCTCTCTTTATGTTACCTTGTTGAGTTTAATACTTATTTCACTGATACTTTCCAGTCACAAAGAAAGAATTGTGTTCCTCAACTCATCTAGTAGATGTTGAAGAAACTCAGTCTCCCAGTGCATTAGGCTTTAATGACATTTTATGCCTTTTTGTATATTATACGAGTCATAAAAATACTTAATATTATTCTTTAAATCCTGTAAAATTAAGATTAAAAACATTTTTCAAGAACTGCAATATGGCTCAGCAGATAAAAGTTCTTGCTGCTAACCTGCCAGACTGGATTTGATCACCAAGCACTCAAAGTACAAGAAGAGAATAGGATCCCAAAGCTGCCAGTGCCTTGTTCCTTACTTCCACACACGCACAAGTCCTGGCAAGCACGTGAACACACACACAAACACACACACACACATACACACACACACATATCAATAAGTGCCAAAAACTTCTAAGATCATCTTATACCTATGTCTTGGCTTGTTATAAACAAATCATTAGCTTCTCTGTCATAGTTTAGGAGGGGGAATGGTGTATAGTCTCTTCTCCCAAATTGAAACATTCCATGCTAGACCAAGATGGAAGGTTCATTAAATATGAGAAGCTAATTATGCATCTTACCAGGCTCAGGAAACTCAATACACTGAAATTCTTCAGAAGATTCAAAGGCTAGAAGACTCATGAGTTATCTTCCCAAGCTTGTATAAGCAATAAACAACTGCTAGAGTATAGGCGTCATCTCAGTGGAGCTGCCTGCTAGCTGGCACAAGCAGGGCACTCCTGAAATGCATGTTCTGTGAGTCCTTCCCCATGCTAGATTGGGTTTTCTTGGTGCTACTGTTGGCTACGAGCCACCCATGCTCCTGTAAGGTTCTGTAATAAACCTATTGATTTGAGTCTTTTCAGTTTGTTATCATTCCCCTAACTGAGGTGGAAAGACATTTTTTTCACATCTCCCTGGCTCCAGGAAAAGTCATAGAGCAACTGAGTCACTTTAATGACATTCACCTCTATGTATCTATGGATGAACTGTCTACTGGAGGAATCAGTTGTCAACTTTCAGAATTTTAAAAATTGATATTGAAACATAATATATACATGAAAGAGAACGCACATAATAATGTATCTGCTTTTGCCACAAACTTTTGTGTGTGTGTGTGTGTGTGTGTATGTGTGTGTGCAATGCTGGTGACTGAACCTAAGAACACTGGAGATATATGAATTGGAATTACATCCTTTTGGATCATGTGTACAACAACCCCTGGTCATATATAGATGGCCGCAGCATCTCTTCAGACATGGAAGTCATACTAAATGTATAGTCATATAGACTAAAATTGTAGACTGGTGTTACATGTTATGTCCTTCTGAAATAATTGGTAAATAAAGGGGGGATTAGTTTTCATAACACCATTTGCATTCTCTTGGGCATTGGGTTTCTGTGACTTTTAAAAAATATTTATTTTATGTTTATTAGTGTTTGTGTGCATGTATCTATATGCATCACATGTGGGCCTGGTGCCTTCCAAGGCCAGAGACAATGTCAGATCCCCTGGAACATGAGCTCTAGACTCTGTGGTTGCTGGGGATCCATCTTGGGTCCACTGGAAGAGCAGCAAGTAAGCTTAGCAACTGAGTCATCTCTCTAACCCTTCCTTGACTTTTTAATAAATCCACTTGTCATATGTTTAGAAATCACTTTGGAGACCCTTTCTGACTTTAATTTGGTTTTTGTATACTAAAAGACAATTTATAGTTTATAATGCTAAGTTGTATAATAAAATAATAAATTTTATCTTAACATTTAGCTTAAAAATGAGTACCTTTATTAAGTGTTGTTCTTAATTAAATAAAAACATTTTGAAAAGAACTTAAGGTTATTGGAGTTTTGCATAATTTTAACACTATTGTTTTCTTGAAGGCTGGACAGCTTTGATCATTTTTGGAGCAGGCTAACTCTTCTGACATGCACAGATTGTCTTTGTTAAGTTCCTTTCCTTCTAGACTGCTCCTTGAATGTTAATATAAAGGTTTGATAAATGAAGAAAATAAAATGTGTGGCTCAGGAAAAGTATATATAAACTATAAGATATATATAAATTTAGAAGAATTAATATATGAAGGTATCAAAACATAGGTGTATTCTAAAGCAGAATGCAAGCCTTATTTCTAGGCCTTTTCCTTGAAAAGATGTAAATGTTTTCCTGAAGTGTGTTTTTATTTTTGATCTTCACATCATTCATATATCTGAAGGACACACCAAAGAAAACTTAATATTAAGGTTTATTGCTAAGGAAACCATTTTTAAATAATTTATATATTAATAAATTATTCAAGAATAATTTGTTGGGATTACTGGGACAAAGCTCAGAGACATAGCACATGTTTAGATTACTGGAGACCATGGGGCTTCATCCCTGAGATATTCAAATATATAATAATTATTATATAATGTAAGAATAAAAATAAATACTAGTTATGAGGCTGGAGACAGAGTTCAATGCCAGAGAGCCTACCTAGCAAGAGTGAGTCTTCAGTTCAAATAGCAGGTTTACAAAAAAAAAATGCTGTGGACCATTTGTAATTTAGTATTTTTTTTCCAAATAGATTTAATAAAATAATGAACATATGTGTAAGTCTAACTTTCTATGCTGCATCTTAGGTGAAATACTAAGAAGAAATCTTGATGATTTTAATCAACTAGATAGACTGTAGAATAAATTCCATTTAAGATATTTATTTAAAGAAGTAACACTTCAAAGTATAGCTAGACTTTCTCTATTAGGCCACACTTTGTCCTTTTATTTTTATTCATTTCAATACTAATACTCCAATGTGCAAGTAAAGTGTAACTGAAAGAGCTAGAAGATATATTTGGGCAAACAGAATCTAAAGGAGAGCATCTAATAGGCCATTTAAACAAGAGCCTCTATTATTAGACATCAAGAGCATGTAAAGTTGGTGATCGCCAGGGAGATGAAGCCAAAAGCATGCTGAAGAATACACAGAAATTGATAAGATGGTTAGACTATAACAATTTGAGTTTTAAAGTGAACTAGAGAATTAGATGGTAATAAGTTTAACACAGTTGTCAATTAACAAACTAAGAACCAATTGCAGGGGAAAGACAGAGATGTTGTTGAAATCAGAGAAAGAATAATTACCTCCAAATTACTAGAGCACTGAAAATCGTAATGGTAAGTTGACCAATCTCTTAGTGGACTCTTAGTGGACAGCTATATAAATATAAGCTTTCTCAGGAGCAAATAAGGAAAAGTCATAAGTGAGCATACTAAACCGAAGAAGGCTTAACTCTCTATTTCAGTAACAGAGATTGGCAGACCAGATTTTAAAATGTAAATTCAGACATTCAATATTTAATACCTAAGTTAGATTTTAAGAATGAAAGCAAAAAGAAGATACAGCAGGTGAGAATGAACACTGCAACCTAGACATTGTGACTGACTGGATACATACAGTTTTGTCTTCTTCATTGAGTACATGGTGTCTGGCTTCTTTAGTCTGCCCTCAAATTAGTTTGGGGTCTGGCTTTGTGAAGCAAAGAAAGTGCAGCAGAAATGACATGAGATCATTTTCAAGCTGTTTCCAAACTTTCTCACATGAATTCTGCCATGTTTTCTTTGTTTTTTGTTTTTATTTTTGTTTTGTTTTGTTTGTTTTTTGACATTATAGACAAGGATCTGAGATGACAAGGCCATAAAATAAGCAACTCAAAACCATGGTCACTGCTTGGAGAAGAGAAGGCCCTCTCCCTGAGCCCATTTGCTTGTCCTCAGACTTCTTACAATCAAGAAACACTATTTATACTCCCTGTTACTTTGCTGCTTGCCACAGTGGTGAGGAGTAGCCTCCCTCACCAATGCTGGAATTGGTGTAAAGTGGCAATTGTGTCCCACTGCTGCAGCACCTCAGAACCAGGAAGGAATACTGGAGCTTCATTCTAGCTTGATTTGTATATCTGCAGTGTGTGCAGATGATTCTCTGCATGCATGTGCTTATGTGTATACATGGAAGCACATGTGTGCAGGAGTGGACACCAGAGGTTGCATTGGGTATCTTCCTAAACTACTCTACTCCTTATTTTTTGAGACAAGTTCTTTTAGTGAGCCTGGAACTCATTGATTCAACAGGACTGGCTGAGTAAGAGCTTCAGGGGTCCATCTGTCCCACCACCACCTCACCCCAACACTAGACTGGATTATGGAAACATGACCTTGAGCCCAGCTTTTCATGTGTATGATGCAGAACTAAATTCAGAGCATCAAACTTTCATGGGAGGCATGCTACCATCTGAGCCATATCCGTATCTCCTGATATTGAAAGCTTGGAGACAGTTATTCAAGTTGTACAGTAGAAATCATTTGATATAAATGTTACTTATGGTAACCTAGGAGATAATTAATTATTACTAAGCTTAGCAGATACTTGTAAATCTGAGAATTTATGTAGTCATATATAACAAGTTGGACCATTTCTATATGACTAGAGTCAGGGAATCCAACAGGATGGTTGAGAGTGTGGGAGAAGGGTCTAAAAGTGTGGTCCTTCCTAGTGTAATAACTGTAGACCCCAAACATTGAGATGTAAAATTATTTCCAAACAAAAAAGGGGCAAAGATGAGGAAAATTTCTTACCTGTATAAAGCAACTGAAGGCAAATATTATGTTAAAGACATGGTTTTATCAGCCTCATTAGGCCAGACAGTGGAGAAATGGAGACAAGAAAGAGAACTTCCAAGGTCAGTTTGAGACCCATGCCTTTAAAAGAGCTTTAGGGATATTTTATGTGAGGAATAGTTAATTAACCTGTAGAGGAAATCAATTACTGAAGACACTACAAGGTGAGAACTCGAGTCTTTAAATAAAAAATAAAACCATCACCTATACCTCTAGTCATTTAGACATAAAACCTGAGAATAACCAAAGAAACAACATACCCAAGATTGAAAACAATAATAAACACGGGTCTCCAAATTCCTATGAATAAGTGTAAGAGACCCTCCCAAGCAATAATAAGCATGGGGCTCCAAATTCCCATAAATAAGCTCTGAGACCCTCCCAAGAGATGAGGCTGTGCAGAGAGAGATTAGGGGATCTTCAAAGAGCAGAAATGGCTCTGCCTCTGCCTTCCCTCCAGGAAAGGGGTCTGCACAAACACTCCCAGAGAGATCTCAGAACAACTTTGGAATAGTGATTTTCCTGCTGCTTAGAAAGGCAAAAAAAATTGTTTTGCTTTTTCACAGGGGACTCTGTAGATTGTCTTGCAGGAGCTGCTGCTAAGCATGGTTATCAGACGGACCCTATGTGATAGATGAGCTCAGTTGTCAATTCTGTGGGTAGAGCAGGTGTTTAGAAAGATACAAACTGTATTATAGACACATCTGTAATATATTTGAAGTATCTTATCTTAAATACAGCATCTATCTATTTAAGGTAGTGCCTGGCTAGACACACGACAAACCCATTTCCTCTTCAATGACACACAACAGTTGGATTGAAACTCAAGCTTGACTACTAACCTCCCCAACAGTACATGTGTCTTCCTCTCTGTCTTCTTGATATGCAGGCATAATGCAGATTCTGATATTGTAGAAAGGACCTCCAAAAAAAGAATTTGAATTCTGCCTTTAGGTAAAGCCTCTCAGAATGTGTATAGCAGCAATATGCCAAGGGTGCAGATGTGTTGTACACCTTATTGCATTATTAGATTTCGGTATATTTGTTTCTGCAACATATAGTAGCTATCTACTACAGAATATATAATGTAGCATAATAATATAATATCACAATATAAATATCAAACAAAATAGACTTAAAGCAGAAAGCTTTAATAGCTACAAAGGTTTTAAGTAAAAGTAGCATCAATGACAAAGTAGAATAAATATAAAATAGTATGTAGGTTATAAAATATTGTAATAATAAAATTTAAAGTAATTATTAAAATTACATATATCCATGTAAAAGATTCCTATGAATACAGACAATTTGTATAACAAAATTTACAAATCCAATCAATTGACATCAACAGTTGAAAGTATTTCATCTTATGAGTACTTTCAAAACATTGATGGTGCAATAGATTCTGAAGGAAAGTACACAATGTCGTTAATGATCTAAAAATCAACAGAAACATATCTCAAATACAAATTTTGTAAGTATTTAGACTACATTTTAAATAAAAAGCAATGGAAATGTTTTAAACTATGACACAGTGGAAATAAAATGTGGTGTTACAAAATGGAGGCCTGAAGGACAAATGTATTTGTACACACATACATACACATACCTAAACACACAAAAATCATATAGACATAAATACACATGTAAACACATACACACAAATCCACAGACACATACACATATAGACTTGCATATATGTAAACTTATATACACATGTATATACATCTAATGTCATACACACACATATACACACACGTACAGATGAACACATATATACATATGCATCCATATAGACGAACACACACAGAGACACATATGGGTGCTGGCATTGAAGGAAAACACTGGTATAGGACACAAAAGCAGTGATGGATGCATGTTAGGACAGGAAACCAGTGAATGAGCCTGTCTAGAAATAAGGAAGCCCATGTCTCACCGCTGCCTTTTCACTTCCGCTCACAGACTTCCTCTGAGAAGCCCCAGGGTTCTGAAACCAATGCAAAAAGAGTCAGGAATAGAAAAACAAAACAAAAACACCTCACTTTGATAGACTGAGAGGTCCAGCTGTGCATCACATCAGAAAAGCCAAGTTCCACTATGATGCCTTTAAACATTTTATCACTTAACTAAAATGAGTTTTTTCCTTTGTGTGTTTGTGTGTGTGTGTGTGTGTGTATGTGTGTGTGTGTCCCTGCCTGTGTGCATGTGCAGCACTCTCCCGTTGGTAGAATGCTTACTAGCATGCATGAATCCTGGATTCAATTTCCAGAGCTTCCAAAAGCAGGTACGGTGGCTCATGTCTACAATTCCAATCCCCAAGGAATGAACACAGAGGACAGATCATAGATTTAAGGCCACCTTAGACCACAGCTTGAGGCCAACCTGAGCTATGTTAAATTCTGCTTCAAATCCAACCCAAATATCGTGAAAGTAAGTAACAATATTATCTGTTAATTTTTCAAATTCTATACTATCTTTCTTCTTTGAAGAAGGAGAAGGAGGAGGAGGAGGAGGAGGAGGAGGAGGAGGAGGAGGAGGAGGAGGAGGAAATAATAATAGAGGAAGACAACAAAACTACAGGCACCCTGAATCTTGAATCCCTGGTCCTCTTGATCTTACCTAGTGAGTGCTGGGATAATAGGTGTAAACCACACACGTCTTGTGCAGTACTGAGAAAAAGCCAGGGCTTCCTGTGTGCTAGGCCAGTATTCTATCAACTGAAATACAGCACTCCACCCCCTAGGCCAGCACTTCTGTTTCTACTTCTTAAACTGTTAGAGGAAACTGGACTCCACTGTCTTTTCCTTATACATTATTTGATCTCAGTTCTTAAAAAACCGTAGAGATTTGTACACTAACTTTACAGTGATCAGACTGAGGCCTGGGCTGGTCAAGGTCAGTAAGAGACAAATCTCAAATTTCTTCCTGGAGATTGAGCCTAAATGTTTAATTGAAAAAAAATTTTTTTTGAAAATGTGGTACATGAGAATGGTTGCGTACTCTCCCTGTTTGCTTAATCACCCCAAACAGGGAGGAACTGAATTAAGAACTACTCAACACGCCCCTCTTCATCCATGCTTAGCATCCCATTCCTGGTATATGAAAAGATTTTTTTTAAAACATCGCTTTATTTCAAAATTTCATGTTCCCATTTCATATTTTATTTTTTACTCATTGAGTAAGCCAGCCTTCTAGATCCACTCGAGCAGTTCACTAGTGATTGTGAGACCACGTGCCTTCACTCGTAGTTTGAATCATGCCTACTTAATTTCCTGAATTTGCACCTGTCTCCCATAACTTCCCAACATGCATTACTTCAGTAGTGAAATGGCTTTCATGTCTTTGTTTTTGAAGGTGAAAAGATAATTTATTTGAGGTTTATCAAAGACACACTGTGGAAGTATACCTCTTTGTTCCTTGAATAATTATTTAGGCTTAATGGGGTCTATATAAAAAGATGCCTGTTAGAAATTTGTACCTCTTCAGCTTATGAGTTTTAGTTGTGAAATTCCAAATGTAGGCAGTAGATCAACCACACCCCCAAACAAAAGATGCTAGAAGATTGATGTGTCCCAGAGCTCCCGACAATCTACTGGCTGTGTGACTCTACAACATACGTCACAGACAGGAAGGTGGAGGAGGAGCAAGATGTTCTAAAACCATTTTTAATCCTTTTGTTCTGTGACATAAAAAATTAGATAAAGGAGGGACTTTATTTCATTTAACCAAACAAAACACAAAACAAGGACAAAATGGGTATACAAAAAAAGCCACAAGGCCTTGAGAATTACAAAGATTGGATGTAAAACTAAAAATAATAATAATAATAATAATTGCTTGAACAAGCTGCTGACTTACAATGGAAATAAATTGAACTCTTTATAGGATAGAGGCAACTTACATAATCATTTGAGTGTCTCTGACTCTGAATGATCTCATGACATATGTCCCAAGGAGCCTACAAACACACCACAAAGCAGTCACCGTACACCAAGACTCATGAGCAGCAACTGTTCTTAAAAGCAAACAAATTTCTGTCCAGGGAATTTGAACACTCCAAAGGATTTAATGACTTACAGGGGTTTGTAGGTCAATTACTTCAGTTCTGAAATGAAGTGTTCTTTCCTCTTTCTACACTGGAGTAGCCCTCAACGCCATTAGCCCTCATGTCTTAAAACAAGATTATCCCTGGTTAGATTAGCTGTGCCTCAGCAGGGGCCTTTGTGTTGATCTCAGCAGATGGAATTCATTAGTTTCATTCTTTTATGAAAGAACAAGACCAAAACACTCTGCATTCGATTGGAAGGTCTTATTCCTGTGGCTGGTCCATCTGCATGGACACCTGTGGAAAAGGCACATCTAAACTGAGAGCCGCCACTTTCCAAGATGGAGAGGGGCCAGTCTTTCCTGTCACGCAGTTTCCTTTGCTCCTTTGTATCAAAGGAAAGGGAGTCTAAAAGGGCAAAGGCAAGACTCAGGCTTTCTCAGAGGCAGGTATACCCTTTTCATGCAAGCATTTGACATTTTATTGTATTGATTATACCAAGAGACAGGGATTAAGTATTTCTTCCCCCTGAAGCTTATTTGAAAATGTAACAGTCGGTTTACAATGTTCTGAAAGGAAGGAGTAAATGAGACTTATACAAATCTGAAAGAAAAACAAGCAGAGAAGTCAGGGATTGGAGGGGAATGAACCCACAGAAGAATTTGCACATCAAATGCAGAGCTTACAGGAAGGGATGGGAGGAATAGGAAGCTTTTCGGTATCCCCCCCACCCCCTCCAAGTATCCTTCTTCACACGAATGAAAAAATATCATATAGTGAGAAAGAAACATGCCCCCACCCTTTATTTTTATGTCCTTAGATCTTACCTGTGAGTAGACAAGGTTTTGCCAGTGTTGTGTAGCAGGATAATGTCCACCCGGAAATCTCGCGAGGCTAGCCTGCAGAAGGGTTGAGCTCCTCATTAAAGACTTCACGTCAAGCTGCAGGAATTTTTCAGGATGGTTGTTATTGGGCAAAACAGAAAGATCCATGTCCCCTTTCATCTACCGTGGAAACAAAGCAAGGAAAGCTGCCCCTGTCAGACGCCTCCATAATTAATGAGCCTGAAGATGTTCCGGCTGAGCTGGCATCTGAAACCAGGTTTCTCTGCTGCACACAAAAGCCACTTTCTAAAGGCCACGTCAGCACACAAGAACAAAACAACAAAGCAGTCCTCCCTCCTACCTTACAACACACACACACACACACACACACACACACACACACACACACACCATGCTTGAATTGAATTGCACAAAAAAAGCACACCAATTAAAATTAGTAGAATGAGAAAATTATGCATGTGTTACACTTAATATCTCTCCCAGCCAGAGTCTGAAATGGCTATTTTGTATATTAAAGCTACCATAATCTCATTATGAAAGTCCATCATTTGCAGCTCAGCATAGTCACTTGAAGAGACCCACTGTTGGATTTGTTTGTTTGTTTGTTTGTTTGTTTTGTATTGTTACAGTCAAGCAGGTACTCTGGCCCTGGCCCTGCCTCAGTCTTTTGTGATAAGCCTGATCTCATTCTTCCTTAGGTTTTGAATCCTAGTGTCAAGCTCATGGTAAACTTAAAGTTGGCAGTTTGATTGTAAGTGGGAAGGCAGAGGAATGTACTTTATGGGTTGTTGCAGTAAATCATCCCTAACACACTGCCAGGAACCCTCAATATTTAGGTCCCTTTGACTCTATCCCTAGTAGTATCAATGCCTATGATGTGTGGCATTCTTTGGCACATTTGGTACCAAATGGTAACCAGGCTGCTGAGTTTGGATGATGCTCTGGGCTGTAAGTAAACACATCTGTTGTTAAAACAGCCATGGTCAGGATGACTTTATGGCCATCCTGGCCAGCCAACAACTGATAAATTTAATATAGGCACTCTATCTGTAAAAAAGACAGTCTAAACAGCCTACCCCTCTCACCTAGAAGTATGGGAAGTCATCTGGAGGAAGCGAACTTCCCTCTTGGAAGACTATTGAAGGGTAGATATGTCAATGGTTTCTAATACACTTCAATTGTCTGTAATTTTAAAAATCTTTGTAAATCTCTCTGATGTAGCAGGAAGGCTTCTCTTCCAGATACAGTGTGGTCCCATGTGGAATGTATCAGGAATAGATTTCAGAAGAGTGCCATATAGCTTACAAGAATCAGGATGTTTTTGAATCAGGCAAGACACTGGAGAGCACTTACCTTCTTTATAGCAAAAATCACGAGGATATGTGATCAGACAAAAACTTGACCTATTTACAGTCATAAACTTAGTTGAGAAGTTAACATTTGTCACATGAATATTTTACACATGAAGTTTATCATTATTTTATGATGACTGTTACATCTTTTGGATGCTTATAACATATTTGCTAGAGAAAGCAACAGGCACTTAATGATGACAGTTAATAACAAAACAAATCAAACCATTAATGTTTCAAGAATCAAGTTTATTATGTGCTTATCATGTGCTTGATATATTCTGGCTGCTGCCAAAAAATATCTAATGAACAAGTATTTCTCAGACTGCTTTTCCTAAAGTATTCTTTGGGGGAAAATACACATCTTCAAGAAGAGCCTAACTTGTCTTTGGCTTTCTATATTGGCAAGTGGAGACACAGAACTTACATCCAAATAGATTTGATTAGACCTTTCTCTTAGCCAAAGTATGAGGTAGGTGAAATAAGCATTCAGTTCTCCTCAGGCTTCTTCCAGATTTCTCTGTATTGCCCCATGCATGAATCGGGTTTTAGACTGACTCTTAATTTGCGAATTTAGTCACAAGGTCTCCAACTTTCCCTAAATTCTGTCTTTACCCTAAAGCCTACCATTTCTCATTCCTTACTGCTACCCTTGAAGCCTATATGTTGCAAACAGAAAAACAAATATCCTTTCCACACTTACTGGTCCTCTTCACCATCATTGCACCAAACTAACACATCTGCTCACATCCAAGATTTCTCTTCTCATCCCTACCTCTTGGAGGCCCCCTAATCATCTGTGAGTCACATCTGCCATAAAACCTTCTAGAAAACCCCATCTCTTTAGTAAATATGACTTTTCTTCCTTTGAAAACTTAGGGTAAATTATTTATACTTTTGTCTGTTTGATGATGTATTTTCTAATTTTATTTTAAAAGATCTTTGTGAGGGTTAATACTGATCACCAATTTGGCAGTCTTCAGAATCACATGGGAGATACGCCTATGTGGTACTATCTAGATTAAATTAATAAAGACCAATTCTTTAACTGTGGATTATGCCAGTCCATGTACTCTTATCCCAAAGTGAATGTCTAGACGAACATTAATTGAGCATCATCCTTCGTCTCTCTCTGTTCCTCACTACAGATCCAATGTGACCAGCTGCCTCGAGCTCTTGCCTGCTCTGATATTCTTTGTAAACTCAAACCAAAATGAATCCTTCCTTCCTTGTCCTTGAGTCTAGTATTTACTGTAGCAGTGACTCTAGTAACTAATGGAAAATTGATTGAAAAATTGAATGTTGTTGTAGTGATAAACCTGATCTCAGGAGGAAGATGGAAGAGTTTAGAACTTTGGACTCAACTCCTTAGATGCTGTAAGCAGAACTTATTCAGCCTTCCTGGCAGGAGCATGGAAGGCACAAATGTTAAAGGAAATGCACAAAGTGGAAGCCCAGGTCATAAAGGTACAGAGGGCAATGTGGATTTCATAAAACACTTTAGATAGAAGCCCTTCAGGCTATATCCTGGCAAAGAATCTGGTTGCATGCTTCCTTGGTCCTGAGAATTCATCTAAGGCTGTACTTTCAAAAATAATGGATCAATTTATTTATTGGAGAGGTTTCTTTTTAAAATTTTTTTAGAATTTCCCATATGAATAATGAATTTACATCATTTCCCCCACCCCCCTCCTCCTTCCAATACCTCCAATCCCTCTTAAATTCATGACCTCCAATCTTTAATTATTATTAGATTATATATGCACAAATTCTTAAATGTATTCTGCTGAGTGCCTTTACTACTGCTCCTATGTATCTGTGCTTAGAGCTGATCACTTGAGATTGGGTAACCTATCAGAGGGAGGCTCATCCCTGGAGAAGACTGACTCTCTCTCTCTCTCTCTTCCAGCACCCATTAATTATTTGTAGCTTTTCCTTTAATGATGGGGTCTTGTAATATTTCCCCATCCACCCTGGAATGCCGACTAGTGCTGGCATTGGGCTGGTCTCAATTGTCCCACCAGGTTTATCACTTCTTGTGTTCAGCTTCCCTGTAAGATACAGAAGACACTATATTACAGGAGACTTCCTGGTTCTCTGGCTCTCATAATTTTCCTGGCCCCTCTTCCATTGTGATCACTGAGCCTTAAATGTAGGAGTTATGTTGTGCAGTATCAGTTAGAGCTGGGCACCCCAGATCTGTTGTCTTTGCCTTTTGGCCAGTTGTAGATCTCTGTAATGGCCTTCATCTGCTACAAAAACAAACTCTTGATAATGGATGAGGGGTACACGTAGCTGTGGGTATAAGAATATGGATTTAGAGTGCAGTTAGAAACTGTACTGCCTTAGGAAAGTGGCAGTAGAGAGTTCTCATTTCGTATCTATAGCATGTCATTAGCTGTTGGTAGTGCAATAGTTTTATAATAGAAGGTATGAAGTCCCTCCTTTTGTGAGGTCCTAAGTTCCAATTAGATAGTCTATTGGCTGTTCCATAGGACATAAATGCCACTGTTGCACCTTTGTGGATATCTTCTTGTTCTGGTCATTGTGGTTTGTAGGCATTATAGCTGGGCAGAACTATTTGTTGCTTTTCCTCCCTGGCAGCTTCCCTACTTCCATCCAGTATGATGAAAGCTAGGCCTTAGGGAAGAGGCTTCTAAGTCAGATCCAGCTCAGTTCCTCCAAACCTTTGTCATAAGTGCCTAAGTGTGTAGTGTATTTAGCAATAGAGCATTACCTCAGATTTGTGGGACACAGCCAACACAATGGTAGTAGCCTATATGGTTTAGGAGACTCTTGGACTCCCCAGACCAATAACTTAACAGTGGGTTTCCCAGGCTTAGCACTTTTTTGTTTGTAATTGTTTATTTTTATTTTAAGTGTCTGAGTGTTTTGTCTTTGTGTATGTAAATGTGCCATGTAAATGGATGCAGTGTCTGTTGGGGAAAGAAGACAGAGCCAGATACCTAGAACTGGGGTTAAGGACAACTGTGAGGCATATATGGATGCTGAGAATCAACCTCTCCTTTCTCCTTCTCCCTCTGTACTGCCTTCCATCACACTCCCCAGTTAATGTCTCTCTCAGAGTTTTTCCCTATATAATATTATATATATGTTATATTATATAATAATATATATTATCACTCACACAAATCACATATTATTATATAACACATATCATATAATGTATATATTATATTGGTATATATTATATGCTCTATAACACACATGGAATATTATATAGTTTATTATATATTATATAACATAATATTTGTCCCCTCTGTAGAATTCCCCTTCTCTGTGGTCCTTATTATTTTCCTGGTTTCTGTAGGCACTCTCTGTTACATACTCACATCTAAAGAGTCAATGGTCAACAAGCAACAGAGAGCATGCACTATTAATCTTTTGGGAATAGGAGACTTTACTTAGTATAATATTTTCTAGTTCCATCTATTTATCTGTAAATCCTGTAATCTTGCTTTTACTTATGACTAAATCATATTGTAACACACACATACACACACACACACACACACACACACACACACACAAATACACTCCATTTCCACTATGAATTCACCAGTGGAAGGGCATTAGGTTGTTTCTACTTTCTAGCTATTAAATAGAGTGGCAAGGAACATGGCTGAACAAGGATCCCTAGACTAGGATGTGGAGTCATTTGTTATGTGATGAGGAGTTGGATAACCGGGTAGTATAGGAGGTTCATTTAAGGTTTTTGAGCATTTTTTGCATTGATTTTCAGAGTGGATGGAAAAGTTGACAGCTTCACCACAGTCAATGAGGTCC